TATATATATATATATATATATATATAAACAAACCAGCCCTCTGGTCTTTATTATTCTAGATATGAGGTCTGATTATGCAGTCCTTGTTGGCATGGAATTCACTGTTTAGACCTCAGACTTAGAGATTGGCTTTCCTCTTCCTCTCAAGCTATAGGAGGTGTGTACTACCATGCTCTGCCCAGGAAGAACACGATAAAAAAAATTATGATTACATGCACATGTTTGTCTCTGTGCACATATGCCTCGTGTGTGTGCTGGTGTATATGATGGCCAGAAAAGGGTGTTGAATCCCATGAAACTGGAGTTTCAGGTTGCTGTGAGCTGCTCAGCTGTGGGTGTTGAGAACTGGCCTCAAGTTGTCTGCAAGGACAGCAATTGCTCATTTCCACTCAATCTGAAAGACCCCTGCCTCACCCTAAGTTAAACATAGCTAACGCCATTTTGTGAGACACCACTGTTTTATAAAACTCTAAAGGCCAGTTGAGAAACTGGAAAATTACTGAGAAATCCTAGCTGTGTCACCCACTTGGGATATCTGCGGTCAGGCTGCCCCAGTCAAACTAAAAACAGTTTGTGTTAATCACCCTCATGGATATCTGTGAGACTGTTTCAGTTAAGATAGAGAAAAACAAAATAACAGGTGGCGGGCCACGTCAAGGGGTCATCATAACCCCCTTGACCACCCAGTTCCTGGAATCTTGGTGCCCCTGCCAAACTTTGATGCAAATCGTGGTCTCATGAAAATGTACCAATCAGCCCCCTGTAACCATGCTTCTCAGCTTCTGTACCAGTGCTTCTGCTCTAAAACCCTATAAAAACCCCAGCTTCCTACCTAGGGGGCACACAAAGTTATCCGAATGACCTTGCTGCCCCGGGTACCCGTGTATCAAAATAAAAGCCTCTTGCTGTTTGCATCCGAATGGCCTCGTTGTTCCTTGGGAGGGGGTCTCTCTGACGGAAGATACCCAACCGGGGATCTTTCAATTTAATGTCCTTTTCTGTGTTTTAGCTGCATTAGAATATCCATTGCTCTTTGGAGCAGGTTCTGGTGTAGCCAGGATGTCCCGGTTTGTCTTGACTGTGTTTCTATGCTGGCCGTTAGCCATCTTGTTGTCTTTAGCCTTACCTGTTTCTTCATGGAAACTGCACCAAAGACTGGACCCTCCTGTCTTTGGAGTTTAGAGTAGTGTTCAGGAAGATGTCAAACATGGAGTGGCTCAAGAATGGGTGCTGGCAGTTCAGATGCCGGCATCTTGAACGACAGGGCACAGGGTAGTGTATGGACACATAAATATGTAGGGGCAAGTGAATTGAAGGACAGGGATGTGCATACACTGGAACCCTGAATTTTGGGGTGCAGGTACTGGTACTCATAATTATCATTTTACAGGTGCAGGTGCCCTAGGTAGCATCTGTGAGATTCCTCAGAATAAAGCTGGGGTGCTGCTTACAGGCCTCCCCCAAACTGTGCTCCCTGTACTCAGATTCCCCTCAGCTCTGCCACTTTGGATCTGGGATTCCTGTAATTCTATTGTTCACCTGGTGTCCACAGGGTGACCAGAAGAACAGTGGCTTGGTGGCTGGGATGCTCTCCTAGTAATCCTGAAGCTGACCCATATGGAAAAAGAGGTTTCTGAATTCTGGCTTCTAGAGCAGAGAGTTCCTGGATATGGGGATCCAAATTCACTAGAGTATGTGAAGGGGCAGGTGGCCCAATGTTTGCTACTCCTGGATCAGTGAGATGGCCACAGAGGTCCTGGATCATATCGACTCCATTTCCTAGATGACCTGTCCATAACAGGAAGCCGCAAAGTTGATGCCCTGGATCTAGCCACTTGTCTATACACTGGTCTCAGAGTCTCGGAATCTCTGCCCCTCAGATACAGTGCACACTGGTCTCCACCATCTTGGAGTCTTCTTTTTTTGATCTTTCATTCTTCCTTTCTTTTGTGGTGGGAGCCTTTTGTGACCTTTTGAATTTCCTCATGGGTCTGTTTAGGTCTATTTAGGTTGGTGAATTATTGTTGAATTCATTGTTGAATAATGGTTGCTTGGGCAAAGCTAAAACTTATCCATCTCATGTACTTTTTTAAGTTTACTGGGATATAGTATGTTTTAAGAACATTTCCTTAGAATATTCTGAATTTCGCTGGTTTCTGTAGTAATGTTTTTCTGTAATTCCTGATTCTGTTAATTTGAGTACACTATTTTTTCCTTAATTTATTTGAGATATGGGTCTGTCAATTTTCTTCATCTTCAGAAAGAGCCAGCTCTTCCTTTGGTTAATTCTATGTACTGTTTTATTTATTTCTGTTTCATTCATTTCTATTATAATGTTATTTCTTTTTATTATATTATTAATTAATTTGTGTGTGTACTATCAGCATCTGCTCACACCTCTCCTCTCAGACCCTCCCTCTCACCTCACTTCCCAACCCAATATGCCCCTCCTCCCTTTCTTTTCAAAAAAAAGAATTCTCCCATGGATATCAACAAACCTAGGCATATAAAGTTGCAATAAGATTATGTACAACTTCTGTCACTGAGGCTACACAAGGCAGTCCAATTAGGAGACAAAAGCATCAGAGACAGCTTTGGTTTTGCTGTTAAGTGTCCCCATAAAGACAAAGCTGCACAACTGTTATATGTGTGCTGAGAGCCCAGATCTGTCCCATGCATGCTCTATTGTTGGGAGTTCATTCTCTGTGAGCTTGTGCTAGTAGCCTTTCTGTGGGGCAACCCTGAGCATAGAAAGGAGATGTCTTTGCCTGCAGGGTGCTCCAGAGAGCAGATGAGGACTCAGCAATGAGAGAGAAAGAATTAGTCAGCTGATGTGGTTCAGTGGAGTCTAGTAGCTGACTTCTAAAATTCAGACCTTTCTTTGGCTCTGACTTATTGTTGACAAGGCTCTTCTTGTTTATACAAGTTTCACGGTACAAACACAGATTAAAATGATTATACAAGTGGTACAGAAAGGGTGTTTGATTTTTTTTTTATTATCCAGGGATAAAAGCTCAGTTACAATTTAAACAGTACAC